CCATTGATTTTTTTTTTTTTAGAGTGAATGGAAGGGAGGGGAAGAGACAGAGAGAGGGGAAACATCAACATATGAGAGATACATGTATTGGTTGTCTCCTGTAAGTGGTTGGGTATTAAGCCTGCAACCAAGTTACGTACCCTCGACCCGAATCAAACTCGCAACTCTTCAGTCTGCAGGCCAACGCTCTAACCATTGAGCAACCTGACTAGGGCTATCAGAACATTTAGCATGGTGAGGAAAGAGGGCTGTTGTATTTACATATTATTCTAATGCATAAATACATTATGTTTTCATTGATCTAGGAACAATAAAGTCTTCAAGAGCTTTCATCATTCACTTAAGGGAAAGAAAATATACCATATTTTCAGGATCTAAAGTTTAGCATAAATTTAACATTTAAGTATATTTTACTCAGTAATTTGTATACCCAGCAGACATGGTTGAAATAGGGGGCTGAACAGCTAACAGTATACAGTATTTTTCTGCCTTACCACAGAGCTATCGTGATAATGAGTAAAGCGGTACAGATAATAACCTGTTGGCAGAATGACATCCACTGAACTTCTCCTTGTACTTAAAATGGAGAGGCTAGAAAGCAAGACAAAGAGCGTTTCAACTTCTTTGCAGCAATATGTCTCACTCCAGACAGACTTTCATGCCCAGGCAAATGATACTATATTTAAGTAACAGAGCAACAACATTAGTATTACACAGCTAAGAGGACTGTGTCTAAGAAAGCAAAGCAGACGTATTTAAGAGACTATTGAAACACAAAGATAGACAAGTGCAGTCTTTACTGGCTATGCTAAAATTCTCTTTTGGTTTTAAGGAGTATCACAAAAAGGTTGTTCTAGATAAATACGTTGGTACTCTATGACTTGATATTATTTTTTAGTGTTCATCTGTTTTTCTTAAAGGACTGATTTTTTTTTTTTGTCAATGCCATCTAAAATATTTTTGTTTTTCCTCCCTCTCTCTCTTCTTCCTTTCTGTCCTTCCTTTCTTCCTTTCTACTTGCAGCTCCTCAGAGAAATTTTGAAATTGCCTTCAAGATGTTCGACTTGAATGGAGATGGAGAAGTAGACATGGAGGAGTTTGAACAGGCAAGTTGTCCCGGAAAGTTCCTTTAAATACATTCTTATTTAACCCAGTTTCATGTGCTTTGGAGTTACCTTGGCCTTGGTCAGTAGATTCAGATGCTACCCAATTTTTGAAGTACCTAATGTATCATTTTTCAAAACTACTAACTTTTAACATGTGGGTTTTCTTGTTTTAACTCTAAACATAAGGAATTATTTGAATATATGATTAAGGTCAAGATTGCTCTGATTTCCCAATATGAATTAAACTATAATGCTGAGAGGCTAAGTTATGGATATTCAATCATATATTCAGGCCACATTTATCAAACAGCTACTCTTTGCTAGACAGTTTCAGAATACAAGGATGAATGGCAAGTAAAACATGCACAGAGACAAATATTTTAAAATACCTAGAGACATTTATTCAAATGTGCACCCTATGTCCATCATACATTTTTAAAAATATGTTTTTATTGATTTTTTAGAGAGAGGGAGGAAGAAGGTTAGAGAGATAGAAACATCAATGAGAGAGAAACATAGGTCAGCTGCCTCCTGCATACCCCCTTCTGGATCGAGCCCCCAGTACAGGCATGTGCTCTGACTAGAAATCGAACCTGTGACCTCTTGGTTCATGGGTCAGTGCTCAACCACTGAGCCACACCAGCGGGGCCATCCTGCACTCTTAAGTATACAGTCTACTTAGAATTCATATTTTACTATGTCACATAAAATGTGGGAACTGCAACCACATACCATTTACCCCTTCTCCATTCTTTCTGCCATAGTTGTCCTATGTATTATATCTGCATCGAGTAGTCCTCCCTTATCCAAGGGAGAAATGTTCCAAGGCCCCTGTGGATGCCTGCTGCCTTGGATAGTACCGAACTCTATACGTATTGTGATTTTCCCTAAACATACATACACCTCGTGGCTTCTCTTTGGCATATCCTAGTTGTCCACACCGCACTCCTGTGCTTTGGGGCTATTAAGTAAAATAAGGCCTACTTGGACACAGGCATTGTGATACCGTGACAACAGATCTGATAACTGAGATGGCTACTAAGTGACTAATGGGTGGGTATCAGATAGAGCATAGATATGCTGGACAAAGGGATGGTTCACATCCCAAGTGGGATGAAGCAGGACGGCCAGAGATTTCATCACACTACCCAGAATGGCATGCAATTTAAAACTTATGAATTGCACCCTAGCTGGTTTGGCTCAGTGGATAGAGCATTGGCCTGCAGACCAAAGGGTCCCAAGTTCAACATGCCTGGGTTGCGGGCTCGGTCCCCAGTGGGGGGCATGCAGGAGGCAGCCAATCAATGATTCTCTCTCATCGTTGATGTTTCTATCTCTCTCTCCCTTTCTCTCTGAAAGCAATAAAAAATATATTTATAAAAAATCTTATGAATTGCTTATTTCTGGATATTTTTCACTTAATCTCTCTCTCTCTCTCTCTCTCTCTCTCTCTCTCTCACACACACACACACACACACACACACACACACACACAAATCTAGTGATATGTAATTTTCAGTAAAGTTTTTAATGAAAGAATATTTATAGTTATTAATAGTTTACACAAGTGTGACAGTATTTGGACTATGTTATTGTTAATAGTTAATGAAGATGCTATAGCATTAGTTAATTTTCCCTAAACACATTTTGCCCCAGTCACATATACAAATACTCTCAGCACCACACTTTTGAAGCTAACATACAGCTTCCACAACAGCAGGGCTATAAGCTGTAATATTTATAGCCACAAACAAAATTTAAATAATGGTAGGTTCTAACACTGATTCAATACTGGTTCACTGCTATTGGAAAATTCTTTAGTTCTCACTTAGATAAAATGAATTATGTATTGCCTTCAAATAGAAGAAGCACTTTTCTGATTATCCTGTATTTCAATTTAAAGTCTAAAAAACTATGCCCAGCCAGTGTTGCGCAGTGGTTGAGCGTCAACCCATCCACCGAGGTCACTGGTTAAATTCCTGGTCAGGGCACATATCCCAGTTGTGGGCTCGATCCCCAGTCAGGGGTGCACAGGAGGCAGCCAGTCAGTGTCTCACTCTCAACACTGATGTTTCTCTTTCCCTTCCTCTCTTTGTAAAGTCAATAAAAATCATATTTAAAAAAATAAGGAGAAAATCTAAAAATCTTCAACTTAAATAATTTTAAAATCTATTACATACCTGGCTTTTAAGTCTCCATGTGCCTGAGAAACAAATGTCAACCAATCTGGGCCCTGGCCGGGTAGCTCAGTTGGTTAGAGTGTCATTCCAATACAATAAGGTTGTGGGTTTAATCCCCAGTGAGGGCACATACGAGAATCAGCCAATGAATGCATAAATAAGTGGAACAACAAATTGATGTTTCTCTGTCTCTTTCTCCCTTCCTCTCTATCTAAAATCAGTCACTGAATAAAAATGCCAATCTTATTTACATAAAATATGAACCCAGAAAAAATCATAATCAAAACCATTTATTTTAACCTGGAGTTAGAAGACAGCGATAATGTGCTCTGCGAACAATGAGAAAAATAAGGCTTAAAGAGGTTAAATGATTTGCACAAATTCTCCTCTCACTACAGAGAAACAGAATCAGACCCCGTGTCTCCTGACTAGTCTTTCCATTATACTCTTCCACCCTTTATAGAGCCTGAGACTTTTAAGTTGTCTTAAATAAATATTTTTATGGTCATAGATAACAAGTAAAATAAAAAACATTTAAGGTAAAATTTGTTGTTACAAATCTTAAGTTTAAGTATTACGCTTTTCTAATTTGGCTATTTAAACGTCAAGGCTATATATATTGTTTATTTCCGTAACATATCTTTATTATTTACCCTTATGTTTCGAATTTTAGTTGTTCTGAATAGCTGTGTTTTTTACCTTGTAAAGAGGTAGAAAAAACTGCAGGAACTAGTGGGGGCAAAAAAGCTATAGCAATTACTGACTTGCCTCAAAAAACTCTTTATATGTATCATTAAGCCATAGTTGTAGTCCCCAAAGTTATCCTTTCTCAAAAAGTGCTTTTAAAACTTCTCAGAGATTGAACTAATTCCCCATGTTTTCTTGGAGAGTTATTTCATACCAGTTTTGCATTTTCATATATCATTCTAATAAATGTTATTTCTCTTAGATGTTAAGTATTTATTTGCCTATAACTGTGCTGTCACTCTTCACAACTAGAGAATCAGTAGTCAAAATTGTGGAATTTTTTAAATTATCCTGAGAAAAGGAAAGTATTGCTGTGAGGTTAATGATTATTTATTGTGAGAGATGTTTTGAGCCTCAAAACAAATATATATTCTTTTCTGAAGAGATATTTTTAGGTGGGTCCCAATTATAAAAGTATCAGGCATCCGTGTTAGAATCCTGGTGCTGCTACTTGACTTTGAGCAAATTGTTTAACTCTGTGCCCCAAATTTCTCATCTGTGAAATAAGGATAATCATAGGCCTTCTCTCATAGGATTGTTGTGAGCATGGGGTGGAGAGCTAGTGTGGGCTAGAAGACATCTATAATACTTTCAAAAATCTATAATAAAGATTTTTTTAAGTAAAGTAAAATAAAAGAAAGAATTGTAGCACAGTGAAGGCAAAGACTAAACAATCAATAGGCAGTTATTTTCCCTACTTTTCTCTAATTTTTCACTTTGTAATGTTTTTTCTGGATGGGGGTTTGCTTCTCTTTAGGTTCAGAGCATCATTCGCTCCCAAACCAGTATGGGTATGCGTCACAGAGATCGTCCTACTACTGGTAACACCCTCAAGTCTGGCTTGTGTTCAGCCCTCACAACCTACTTTTTTGGAGCTGATCTCAAAGGGAAGCTGACAATCAAAAACTTCCTCGAATTTCAGCGTAAACTTCAGCATGATGTTTTGAAGCTAGAGGTAGGCATTTCCTGGACTTCAGGGGATCGGGCACTGTCCATCCCATGTACACAGAGAGCCGCTGGGGTGGGAGGGCCTGCATTATTGGCATTCTTTCCGTCTATCTCCAGCTGGGAGAACTGATTGCTTTGAACTGTATCAGTGATTTACTGTCTGACAGCAGGTTGGAGATCATGTGGTCTGTGAAATGTCTTGGAGTCAGCTAGTTCTGGGCCTAAAAGCAGAAGTTGTCTTTGGATACTCAGTTTGAGGAAAAAGAAATGCAGGGGTCAGAGCTGCTCTCAGCCTGAGCATGTATCCCTACTTTATATTATTGTGTAGACGGCAACAGGTAGTGGAGACGAGGGGGGATCCCACTTAACTCAGCTGAGACAGTTTGAAAAATCACAACTGAATTCCCATTATTAATACATTTTAGTTTATTATTATAATTTTGTTGTTATTAATACTTAACCGAGGGTATTTTTTCCATTGATTTTTAGAAAGAGTGGAAGGGAGGGATGAAAGGAGGGAGAGAAACATCAATGTGTGAGAGACACATTAATTGGTTGCCTCCCCACACTCTAACCACTGAGCAATGCCAACTAGGGCATTAATAATACATGTTTTAAAAATACATTTTTATAAAAAAGAACTCTCTTAAATATTCATGCTGTAGAAGAGAAGCAGAAGTAGAATAGTACTTCTAAAAATCAGATTAAACTTTGAAATGTGCCTGTGCACATGTTTTCTGAAAATGGTGTAATTGATATTCAAAGAATTTACCTCAAAAAATTTGCACGTTCACCTTGCCTGTGCCGCTGGGGAGCCAAACAACTGGGGGTTGCTACCGCAGAAGCCCGCAGAGGCGTCAGTTTCAAACTGGAAGAGAAAACTGCCCACAGCAGCCTGGCACTCTTCAAAGATGACACAGGTGTCAAATATGGCATGATGGCATTGGAGCCCACCAAATTGGTCCTGAATGTGGAGCATTTCCGGGAGTGGGCAGTGGTGTTGGCAGACACAGTGGTCACCAGTGGCAGGCACTATTGGGAGGTAACGGTGAAGCGCTCCCAGCAATTCCGGATAGGAGTGGCAGATGTGGACATTTCTCGGAATAACTGCATCGGTGTTGATAACCGTTCTTGGGTGTTAACCTATGCCCAGCGCAAGTGGCAAACCATGTTGGCCAACAAAGCCCCTATTAAGGGCATCGGGCATCCAGAGACGGTGGGGCTGCTGCTGGAGTATGAGGCCCAGAAGCTGAGCTTGGTGGATGTGAGCCGGGTTGCTGTGGTCCACATGCTACAGACAGATTTCCAGGGTCCAGTGGTACCTGCCTTTGCCCTTTGGGATGGAGAATTGTTGACCCATTCAGGGCTTGAGGTACCTACGGGCCTCTAGTATGTCCATCACTGGAATTCCCAATAACACTCTTGGCCAGCCTCCTGAAAGTGCCTGGAACCTTTTAACTTTGCCCCAAGCAACCTCTAGCTCCCACAGTTCAGGTCCTCTGTGCAGTATCTTAGTCATTTTCCTCTCCCCTACCTGTGAAAGCTAGGCTACTGCCAATTTTCGTAGGCAAGCATGAATGTATTTTCCTTGACTTGCTTCCTTGGGTCCCTGTATTCAGTCCTGGGGTCTTACCTTTCAGCTTTGCTTGGCTTTATCATCACTATGATACCTTTCTCTCCTTTTGCCCATGTTTAACTTCTGTTTGTTCTTGGTGCTCTAGTGAGTCTCTCCACAGTAAATCTTTTCTACCTCTGGCTGGAGGAGTGGTTCAGTGACTTGGCCCTTTCTCTAAAGCTCATACAGAGTCTGGGCTCTGGCTCCCTCGGGAAATGCTTTACTGACTTTCAGAGTGAGAACAGAGCCCTCCTTCCTCAGTACCTCAAAGCTGGACTCTCAGCCCCACACAACTGCAGCTGTCCCCACCATGAGCCCATCTGCCTTAATCTGCATACCTCTGACACCTGGTCAATCCCTAGTAATCATCGGGCCAGTTATAGCCACTTCCAAAGAGAAAGAGACACCTGGGGGATATCAAGGGCATTCATGCTGGAAACTTTATTCTTGAGAAGTTCTAGCTTCATTTCTGCTACAGTTGGAACTTCCAGAGGGAGGAGAGAGACTGAGGTCTTGCACAATACATTTTTGGGCCTGCTCAGATCCAAGCCCTCACCCTCCCACCCCAGTAGAATACACTTAACCTAAAGCAGTATTAGGAGTTGAGGAAAACCTGGTGGGATGAGCATGTATGTGAAATATGTATTTCTCTGTTTAACCCTGTGGCTCCATCTTATTCTATCTTTATGATGGTGATGCAACTGAATGCCTCTCAGGGAGAAAGAGGACTGGGTTTAGTAAAAATAATTATTTGTGTAATTAAAGTTTATTTGAGCACACACACAAAAAAAGTAATGGATTTCTACAACTCAGCCTCCTTGAGCACCTATAATAAGTGATATACATATATACAAAAATCAGATTTTACGTATGCATGAGAAACTCCCACATGATAATGAAAGACCCGGAGAAGTAGCTAGGCCTAAGTGTTTATCTGCTGGGTTAAACAAAGAAGGGTGACCTGCCTTTATGAAGTTTGCATTCTTATCACCAGAGAAAGTGAGTCTAAGTTGAGAGAAATCTGTAAAACGGACCTTGTTAAAATAATTCTTACCGTCCTTTAGTCTCCCTATATATGTTAGCTATTTTTCTACAGTTGCTATTCTTTGTTTCTTTCCTGCTGGTAGAGGGAGGACATCTTTCACACAGGAATTTTACTCCTGCTTTCAATTTTGAGTTGTTATGAGGCTCAAAACCTCTCTTACAATGAATAATCACCAACCTCACAGTAATATCTTTAATATCTCAGGATAATTTTTAAATTTTCACAATTTTCACTACTGATTCTCTAGTTGTGATAAGAGATAACACAGTATAGGCAGAGTTGGTATGTATTAGAATTCTAAACATATGCCTTAGCCCCTGGTGTGCATACCTGGAGTGGTCTTCTTTGGAAACGTTATAATCTGGGAATGTAAATTATTTAACTTATTGATTATGTAATTACAATTTAACACAGAGTATAGATCCATAAAATGTAGTTAGAGAATAAAACACAAACTAGAATAGTACTTTAAACAACAATTCAGGTTCATTCAGAGCATGGAGCAGGTGCCACAATCTAGCCTAACATTCATTCCTAGACATACAAGTGGGAGTCTCAAGAGACAGAGCCTGAGGCTTTTGTCTTTCACCCTGAGATGCTATCCAGATGAAAGCCCACTGTAGGTTGTATAGATTGCCAATTTGGTAGAATATAATAAAGCAGATCCAGGATTTCACACATATGTACCTACACATAGCCTACGCCTAAATGCAGAAGAAAAGAGATTTACTAGACAGCCATATCTAAAATACTTATTCTAGAAAGCTATTGGCTTAGCATCATCTGTAGGCTTTGGGCCAAGATGTACCGGGACTGTTATTGTTTGCCAGTCAGCAATTCCTCGTGTAATGGAGTCAATTGACTCTTTTGTGAAAGAACACAGCCTAACATGTAATAAATATTCTATAAATGTTTATTAATCCTGAATTTGTTCCACGATAGCACAAGTCCAGTGAATAAGTGGCTCCTTATCAATAAAACCTATTATGTCTTCCCAACCAGATTTTTAATTTTTTGAGAAAGTGTGAATAGCAAAAAGAGCATAGATTTTGATATTCTCATAATGAGACCTTGATTAAAATTTTATTTCCACCACTTACTGGCTATGTGACATTTGATGAGTTATTTATTCTCTTAGAGCCTACCTCCTCAGGACAATGTTTAAGTGAGATGGTATTTCTTACTGGCTGGATTATGTTCCCCCAGAATTCTTATGTTGAAACCCTTAACTCCCGGTACCTCAGAATGTGACTATACTTGGAGACAGACCTTTAAAGAAATGGTTAAGTTAAAATGAGGCCTTTAGAGTAGGCCCTAATCCAATCCTAGTGGTGTCCTTATAAGAAGAGGAAATTTGGACTCACACAGGGAGACACCAGGGGTGAGCATGCACAGAGGGAGAACTATGTGAGGAGACAGCAAGAGGGCAGCCAACTGCAAGCCAAGAAGAGAGGCCTCAGAGGAAACCAACCCTGCTGGCACCTTAAACTTCTAGCTGCCAGAACTGTGAAAAAACAAATTGCTATTAAGTCACCCATTTGGTGGTAGGCAGCCCTAGCAAACTAATATGCCACCGGGCACATACTATGCCTTTAATAAGTATTCATTCACCTATTCTTGTATACCCTCTGCCATTTAGTATGGTAGTTGGCATATAGTGGGCACTTAAACAGGTCTTTTCAGATAAATGACCAAAAAGCCTTACTTTCACTTTGAAAATAGTTTTCTCATAAGACATCTGGAAAATGGAGCAATTTTTGTTTTTATGAAACACTTTTAATTTTACTTTTCAAAGTTTAGGTAATTTCCCCCCTCATTAAATGTGAATTATGTTATCATCGCAGCCTAAAGGAAATTAGAAATGATTACTATTAGCTTTCATATGGGTTTTATAATTTCACCATTCTTTCTATTTCTTACTGGTCTTATTTCTTTACTTACCTACTTTAAAATTTTAAATCAAGGAGATTTATAGTTTCATTTAGTTATTTTTTTTTCTCACCACAGTAGCTTTGAGAGTGAAAAGAATACCATTTATCTGTCAAATTTAATTTCCAGATGATTCAGGAAAGAGGGAAATGTCCATGAACATATTTATTGAATGCCTACTACGAGCCAGGCAATTTACATATATTATATTCCTTCTTTGTTTTAATTCCAGCTGTTGGTTTTATACCCATGTCACAGCTGTAGAAACTGAAACTCAGAAAGATAAAGTCACAGAGCTATTAAATGGTTGAGTCCAGATTCCAACTTCAGTCTTTCAGAATGAATTATTTTCTATTCTTTATCTAATTACTAGTGACCCAGTGCACGGATTTGTGCACATTGAAAGGAAATTAATTAGAAGGTAGCCAGCAAGGTGGGATTGGGCAAGACAGGCCAGACATGCCCTGGAGCCAATCTCCTGCCGTCCCTCCCCAGCATCTGTGGAGTGAGCAGGGTCCCTCCAGCAGGTGGAGCCCCTTGGCCTGGCCTGCAGGGATCCGGCCGAAATTGGCTCTCCGACATCCCCCTAGGGGTCCCGAGTGGGAGAGGGCACTATGCAAAGTTATTGTCGTACAGGGTGTGGAACGCAAACGCAAGTTTGCAGTAAACCAGATTCAGGGTGACAGTGCCCCAGCAACAACATAGCCGATGGCTGAAGGTGGAATTGCACAGCTCCATGAGGAATCTGGCTCCCTCCTCTCTGGTTTCGGGGTGTGTCACCTGAGAGCCTCCGCTGCCAAGTCACTGCAGCTCAGCAGCTCCTGGGTTGAGCATCTGCCCCCTGGTGGTCAGTGCATGTCATAGTGACCAGTTGGATGGTAGGAGGGACACAACATATTAGCCATATATATATATATATCTACACTAATAAAAGAGAAACATGGTAATTGGCATATGACCGCTACCCTTCCCATTGGCTAATCCCCCTGTCACTCACAGAGTAGAGCCGAGATATGCAAATTAACTGGCAGCCAAGATGGCGGCCGGCAGCCAGGCAGCTGATGCGAACAGGGAGGCTTGCTTGCTTCAGTGACGGAGAACTCCAACGTTCCCCGCCTGACTTGCCGGCCTCTCAGCTGCAACTTTCAGCAACTATGTTGCGAATAAAGAAGCTAAAAAAAACCCAGAAACCTGCTTTACTCAGCGGGGCTTCAGCCAGCCGGACCGCAACATTGTATCAAATACAGACGGTAAACAAAGGCCAGAAACCTGTTTTCAGTAGCTGAGGCCTCAAAGCTAAAGCTTCCCAGAATAAAAAAGAAAAAAAAAGAAAAAAAGGAGCGGTTGGGAGCTTCAGTCCCAGCCTGAAAACAGCTCTCAGCCCCTCAGCCAGACTGGCCAGGCACCCCAGTGGGGACCCCCACCCTGATCCAGGACACCCTTCAGGGCAAACCAGCCGGCCCCCACCCATGCACCAGGCCTCTACCCTATATAGTAAAAGGGTAATATGCCTCCCAGCACTGGGATCAGCGGAGCCGAGAGGCCTCCCGGCACCGGGATCAGCGTGACAGGGGGCAGCGCCCAAACCCCCTGATTACCCTGCAGCTCTGTGTGTGACAGGGGGCAGGGCCCCAACCCCCCTGCCCCCCACGGGCCCTGCTCTGTGTGTGACGGGGTAGAGCCATAACCTCCCCATTGGCCCTGCCCTGAGTGTGAGAGTGGCGGCGCCCCAACCACCTGATCGGCCCTGCTCTGTGGGTGTTAGAGGGTGGCGCCCCAACCCCCCCCCCCCACGGGCCCTGCTCTGTGTGTGATGGAGTAGAGCCGTAACGTCCCCATTGGCCCTGCCCTGAGTGTGACAGTGGCGGCGCCCCAACCCCCTGATCGGCCCTGCTCTGTGGGTGATAGAGGGCGGCACCCCAACCCCCTGATCCACCCTGCCCTGAGTGTGACAGGGGGCAGTGCCCCAACTCGCCCATCGGCCCTACTCTGTGAGTGACAAGGGGGAGCTCCTCAACCCCCGGATCGGCCCTGCTCTGTGCATGACAGGGGGGAGCTCCCCAACCCCCTGATTGACCCTGCTCTGTGCATGACAGGGTACGAAGCCCCAACCCCCCGATGGGCCCTGCTCTGTGCGTGACAGGGGGTGGCGCCGCAACCTCCCCATCGACCCTGCCTTGAGTGTGATGGGGGGCGGTGCCCCAACCCCCCAATCGGCCCTACCCTGAGCGTGACTGAGGGTGGCATCGCAACCTCCCAGTCTGCCCTGCTCTGTGCATGACAGGGGAAGGCACCCCAACTCCCCAATCGGCCCTGCTCTGAGCCCGACCAGGGGCTGCACCTAGGGATTGGGCCTGCCCTCTGCCACCCGGGAGCAGGCCTAAGCCAGCAGGTCGTTATCTCCCGAGGGGTCCCAGACTGCAAGAGGGCACAGGCTGGTCTGAGGGACCCCCCCCCCTTCCCCCGAGTGCACAAATTTTTGTGCACCGGGCCCCTCTAGTGTGTATATATATATATATATATATACATATATATATATATGAATAATATATATTATTACTTTTAGTCTGAGATGAGATTTCTGTTTGTTACTTATTTGGAACTCTAAAGAAAAATAAAATGTTCTGAAATTTAGGAACAGAAAAAGACCAAATTTCTTGAATATCAATAGACTTCTTCAACACCATTGTTTCTACTTAGTTTGTTCCTCAACTTGAGTGTTATGACTAAGAAGAAATACACTATTCTTTTGTGTTTAAAAGATACCTAAACCAGCCATTTCTTTTCATAAGAATCATTAGCTTGTTAGCTTTATAAAAATGTTTTAATGCTCTTAATTCTGGTTAGATTTGTTTTATTCTACCCTTAATTCTCTATTTGGGAACTCAGAAAACATAAGTTTGAAGGAATGACTTAAGAATACACAGTTGTTTTTTAGAAAATATATCTTGAAGTTATTAAAAACTCCATCTAAGTCTACAAGAACTTGAGTTGAGTTCCTTGGAGATAGGTGCCTTCTCTAATTCTAGTTAATATATTCATCGGTTTCCTGAGGACTGCCACAGTAAGATGTCAGTCAAAAATGAAAGGTAATTGAGAACTCTTTGAAAGATTATGATTAATTTTAATTTGGGGGGAGGGGAAGTGACAAAAATGTCATTATGTCAAAGAAAAGCAAAAACTAATTTATACAAGAATGAAGAAGCCAACTCTAGAATACAAAACAAGGAAACTAAAATAGTATCATCTAACAGAATTCTAGTCTGCAGCATGATTTTTTAATAAGTTTTGGGATTCATATGCTTATTGCATAACCAGATTATCACATTTTAAAAAGGCGTGACTATCAATTATCTGAAGGCAAATTAGATATAATTCAAAGGATAACATGGATAGTCACCCAGTCTTCAAGAAAAAAATATTAAAATTAAATAGATTTGTTCAGTCAGGAAGAAAGGTAAAAGGGAGACATAAAGAACTATGCTAATTATTCTCATCTGTCAATAAGAGTAGAACAAAAAAATAAAAGGATTAATATAAGTTAAATATTAAGGAACTTTAAAAATATTATAACTACATGATTAAAGTGCCTATGGAGGCTAGGCTAGTGTGGCACAGTGGTTGAGCTTCAACCTTTGAACCAGCAGGTCACAGTTTGATTCCTGGTCAGGGCACATGCCCGGGTTGCCGCTCGTTCCCCAGGATGGGGCAAGCAGGAGGCAGCCGATCTATGATTCTATCATCATTGATGTTTCTCTCTCTCTCTCTCTCTCTCTTCCTCTCTGAAATCAATAAAAATATGTATTTCAAAGGTGTCTATGGATATTCCAGAATCACCTACGCTTTACATCATTAAGCTGACATCTTTGTGCTCATCTCTTTGAAGTCCTTAAAGTAGAATTAGATTTCGTCCTGATGCAAAGGACCATATTGAGAAACAACCTCAGCACTTTTTCTGGCTAAAAGATTGTGGGAAAGGAGACCAGAAGACAAGTTTCCATCATTTCTGGAACTTGAACACTCTTGGCAAAACAGATTTCTTTTTATTTTAATAGCCAATTTGATTTTTTTTGAACTGGGAAACCGATTCATATGTAAACTCAAAGAAGAGTGTTGATTCTTGATTTAATTAAATTTGCAAAGCAAAACTGAAAATGTTCAAGGGGGTTTCCTTTTGTTTATTCTTGCACTTTTGCCTCTACAAAGCAGAACATGTATAGTGATAAATCTATAGTGCTTTATTCCACCTTTAGATGTTTTCAGCTTGAATTTCCAAAAATCATTAAAAGGGTACCAAAGAATACTTGTCTCTTTTAAGTATTTATAACTTTAAGGAGCCAAGTATATATATTTAAAGCTGTAAAAAAACCTCTTTTTAATCATTGATGTTTCTATCTCTCCCTCTCCCTTCTGCTCTGAAATCAATAAAAATATTTTTTAAAAATAAATAAATACAAACATATAAAAATAGTAGAATAAAAATTTTAATTTCTTCAAGAAGTCTTTATGTCAGTCACCAATGACTTGATGTCAGTATTTTTACAGCTAATTATATTTTCTCTCTGTACCACACATTGTGAGTTAAGTCTAGTATCTTGCCCTAATGAGAACAAGTTAGCTCTCAAGATGAGTTAGTTTAACAAGGAGATATGTAAAATCCAAAGACAAACTCTGATTTAATTTCTTTCAAATTCCTTTATACCCTCTAGCTCAAGTTTGCTGTCATTTGTGGCTTAGAGGGTCTCTGACTGTAGAATGAGACTGAAAATACTGTGTATGGTAGAATTTCCATGGTTATAGAAAGCTCTTTTTTAAAAAAATTAAATATTTATTGTTCCTTTTATTACAGTTGTTCCTCTCTTTTTTCCCCACATAGCTCCCCTCCACCCGGTTCCCACCCCACCCTCTGCCCTTACCTCCCCCCACTGTCCTCATCCATAGGTGTACGATATTTGTCCAGTCTCTACCTGCACCCCCCACACCCCTTTCCCCCCGAGAATTGTCAGTTCACTCCCTTTCTATGCCCCTGATTCTATTATATTCACCAGTTTATTCTGTTCATCAGATTTTTTATTCACTTGATTTTTAGATTCACTTGTTGATAGATGTGTATTTGTTATTCATAATTTTTATCTTTACCTTTTTCTTCTTCCTCTTCTTAAAGGATACCTTTCAGCATTTCATATAATACTGGTTTGGTGGTGATGAACTCCTTTAGCTTTTTCTTATCTGTGAAGCTCTTTATCTGACCTTCTATTCTCAATGATAGCTTTGCTGGATAAAGTAATCTTGGTTGTAGGTTCTTGCTATTCATCACTTTGAATATTTCTTGCCACTCCCTTCTGGCCTGCATAGTTTCTGTTGAGAAATCAGCTGACAATCATATGGGTACTCCCTTGTAGGTAACTGACTGTTTTTCTCTTGATGCTTTTAAGATTTTCTCTTTGTGTTTTGCTCTTGGCAT